TTAAACATGATCCAAAGTCTGTATTTTTTTTTTTTTTTGGAAATAAAATAAGCTACTTTACCTAAGCTCTTAGGCGAAAAGAATTGGTAACTTAAACTGATTGAATTTATGGTTGCCATCCTAGGTCTCTGGACACATGTCGTTGACCGACAGACCTTCCAGGAAACATATTACAGAATCTATATAGTTGTAGTTTAGTCACTATTACTCCTCAGCAGTCTTTATGCATTCTGTGGTATCAGGACTACATTACAGCGTCCTTCCTGTTGGAAGTACTATTTACCGTGTAAAAAGTATTCCATGAAGTACAGCGGAATTCTAGAAAACTTGCATCAAGAGTACCAATTTAAAACCACTAGGTTTTAAACAAAAATATCATTCTAAGAAAAAATGTACACCAGGGTGAATTTATGCTGATAGGCTTTTTTCATACCAGACTCTGTAAATAAATGCATACACACACACACGCATAGAGTGCTATATTCTACATGTCCATTACATTATACTAACATATATGCATACTCCGAATCTCCATTTTGGGTATAACCTCTTCCAGTGCCTCTTAAGCCAAAAGTACCAAATAACACAATATGATCCTTCTTTGCACCCATAACTGTAAGCAAAGATCTGGTTTCTATTGTTAATACCATGTTATGTTTGGCAGCTTACATACTTTTCCCACCTACAAGAGGGGGGATCGTATCTACCTTTTGTACAACAGCTGGAAACCCTTTTCAAACCCCCGTTGGACACTGCAAGATCACCAAAGTACTGTCGTATTATATTTGTTGGCAAAATAGGATTACTGAATGCTGTACTTTATTTTGATTATGAAGCATTAACAGGAATGGAAATTGTCAATGTGTACCAATGGGGAAGGAGTCCTTGACTGCAAACATTTTTGTTCAGCTCCCCAGCTGATCAGAGTTGACAGAGCTTCTTTAAAACCCATGGAGCCATGCCAATTTAAACCAACTCAGGATATGGCCTTGGAATTAATACGTTTCACATGCCTGATGTTTTAATAAAAGAAAAAAGAGAATATTCTTTATTATTAAAAAGTTATGCTCTGAATAGTTAACTATCCAGTAATAATATTGCAGCTTTGTACATTCTGCCTGTATAGTACATACCCTACACACATGCACTTTCATATCTTCACCCTGTCCAACTTTAGTTCCCACTGTGAGGAACAGCAGAAGGCTGATCTGAAAAGAAGTGAAATAGAGCCAGGCAGATTAAACTAAATCCCTCACACATGAAGAGTATTAAGATTTATCAAGCTTGTAAAAAACATCATCACCAGAGACTAACCTTGCAGAAGACGCACGATAGGTGCTACTCACTAGTGACTTAGCAGCTTATTGGACTACGCCTGCATTGGTAAAACGATAAAAAGGCAAAGTCTGTCTCTGCTGCCAACACTCCCACAGCCTGGGATATTAAAACAACAAAAAAATCATTTTTTACATTCTTTTCTTTTACTGCAGAATTTAGGAAAGCAGACATAAGGACACGTTAACAGCCAGATCTGCTCTTTTTAGTACAACCGGATTTTTACTTTCAGTAACAAATAGCCATGGCCAGCCATGCGGCTCCCACCACTCAAAGCCAGAGGTAGTAGGGTACTCGCTCAGGAACAGCATTAAAGACTGCAAGGATTTTTAGAAGATTTTTTTATTAACTAGATAAATGCTCTATGATTAAAATGTCATTAAAGGTTACATTTTCACAGTAATGGAAAGGTTTTCGCCAAGTACCTAATGAGCTTTTGTCCAGAGGGTTCTTAGTTTGGAAAAGCACTTTGACTACTTCAAAAACCTACAGTAATATATATCTCTTCTAAAGCTTTTCCTTAAAGGGCAGAGGATAGAGTATGCATTTTCAGCTGGGGCTTTGGATCTCAAGTGTTTCCACTACCTTGCCATGCCTTCCAAAAGCTCTAGAGTTGAAACACCCTCCTTCATGCCACTGGTATACACTCAGCAATGCACTCTAATTGAAGGCAGACTTAAAGACCCTTGGAAGCTACATCTGATGCAAGTTCTATTTATCCACTTATTCAACAGCATTAACCACATGCAGCATTTTCTCCCTATTCACCAGAAATGGTGCTGGTTAACAAAGCTAATGGCCCATATGGCTGAAGCTGATTATTGCCTATTGCAGGAAGGAGAGATAGGTAAAAAAGCCTCCGCACAACCTGAAGGTTTGGCAGATGCTGCTTTCTACAAAGGGCTATGAAAACACAGGTGCTTTGGCCAGTACCTCAATAAAAAACTAGCATTAATGGCAGAGATTTCAGCAACCTTTAGGATCTCTTATTGTGAGGATAGTATCTCCCAGAAACCCCTTCTCTAGGAAGAAAATTCTCATTAAAGAACAATCCTAGATATTTCTAATTAATATCTGAACAAACCATTAAAGGTTTGGTTAGGTTGTTCAGAGAACCAGTTTCTCCCCTTAACAACAACCCTAAGATGCTTTTAGAAAAATCCCATGCGTTTTCTTAATTTAAAATTAGTAAATCTATGTACACATCTTTTGGGAACGAAAGCACACCCCTGACCTCATTTGCAGATCTGATATTTCTTGTTAGGGGCCAAAAGATAATATTTTGATGCGTGATGCCATATACACTCCCATCAAATGTCAACAAGTGCATCAAAATTCACCTGAGTCACTGTGTAATCTAAGTTGACACTGAACAGGCAAAACTCACTTTCTACTAAGTGCAATGAAGGAAGTGGCTAAATGTGCTGCCTAGGACAAGGGGATATTGTTATAGAAGGAGTTTAAAGTTGATATTTAAAAGAAAAAAAAAGTGTGGCTGGCAAAAAATCCAGAATGAATTAGAATAATTTGCATAAGACCTTGATTTTGTCTTCTGAGGACTTCAGGAAACTATTACATTTCTGGCACATTGCCTCTATTGTCTTTTCCCTTTTCTAAATTTTTTTTAAAAGGCTTAATTTTCTTTTCTAAGACGGGAAGAAGCTTGGGAGCATGTATTACAAAGAAGTACAGAGAGTGACTCTAATAACAAAGCCTGGAGTACACACACTTCACTGACAAATCTCTTAGCCAAAGTCCACTTCAACAATCAAACAACACAGAAAACTGAAGCCTGGTTGCAGAGGTCATTAAAAATCACATGGCACTCATAAAGTAGAGTTAACCCTTGATTCTTGCCCTAATTCCAGGATAACTATAATACATACAATCAATCACCTATAGAGTTTCCAAATGCAAAAGCTACTAATGGGGTAATTTTGTACTGTTACTTAAAACATGAGGCTGAATAGGGTGGACGTAGAGATTAGTCAGTCCTCTCTGAAACACAGTTTTTCAGCGATAGTTCCATTTCACTAGTGAGTTTGCAAAACCTACAGATAGCATAGTATAGACTGCCTTTTGCTTTGTGTACTCTTGACAATGAAATACAATATGTAATAGTAAAGCCATAATCATTATATATGCTAAGTAAGACTGAAGGTACAAATTTCATCCTTCATTTAAACACCATTAAATTAATTCTAGTAAGTCACAGAGGAATTTGGCCCTCAGTACATTTTATGAAAATTCACTGATATAACCTTACACTAATTCTTAACTGTGCATGTTTAGCTAATCAACCATTTTATTTCATATACAAACTACCCTAAAAAGCTCAGCACTAATTATTTATGAACTGAAGCCCTTTCTTTTCCCAAAGCAGCAATGAGCTGAACATATACAGATTCAGCCTGCGGTCACTTACAAGGGCTATTTTTCCACAAGTGTCATGCAGACCCCAGCACCTTAAACTCTTCTAGAAAGTCTTTTAGGAAGTGGTTAGACCTTAGGCCGTAACACTGGAGAAAACTCATGCTTCATCAATTTTGTGGCTAAGGTATTTCACTCTGGAGCTGTTAATCAGGCAGCTTGCACAAATTCATTCAGAAAAGGTGAGGGTGAATTTGTCCTTTCCTATAAAAAATACATAAGCACATTTCCCCTCTCATCAGCCCTGCTGCTAATCAAGAGGGTAACAACCTGCAGCTCATACCAGCTAATGTCATACTTTTAGCCCAACCAGCGCAGGCAGGTCCTTTCACATGAAGTCCCATACTGAAACAGCGACATGTACAGTAATAATATAATAATATAACATCAGGTCTGCCCAAATGCAGCCCAACGCATATAGAATTGTAAAACAGCCTGGTATAATTGGGAAGCAACTCTTAGAATCCCCATAGACTGGAGCTCCTCTCCGAGCTGAACGGTGTTTTCTTAGGAAACAGACCTTCACAAATAGTACTATTGCTTCTGCATGACTTACCTTGCATGTCAGACTGATTTGCTAGTTTAAGGAATTTAGAGATGTAAGTAGTTTATCATTATACATTTAAACAGTTAAAGAACATCATATTTCAGGCAAAACAATATCTGGAAATCTCAAGCTATCAAGAAGCCAACAAAGTTTGCGTCATAAAAATAAGTAAGTCCATGGTTTGAATATACATGGGAAACAAATTATGAAGTCCCCCCTATACGAACAATAAAACTTCACAGGAGGGAAAACCCTACTTTTCATGCTGTTTGCTCTATTCAAAGTCCAATTGATTTCTAATGGGAAATTTCCTTGCTACAGAGATTATGATTTAGCCTTGGTTTTAAATCACCAGAACATTACTATACTTGTAGCCAGTGCAAAGGTTTAGAGGAGGGTGTGAAGATCTCTCTTTATGGTTTAATATTCAGAGATGCATACATTTTTACAGAGTATCCCATGAGTTAAGAGGAAGTAAGAGCAACATCTGAGTCAAAGCTCTGAAATCTGGGCTATTAAACTGATCAGTGCAACATACCAGCTCTGGGATACTGGTGCTTCCCCTTGCATCACAAGCTATGGACTGAAATGCGATGACAAACAAGTTAGGAGATGCACCTGACTTTCTGGGATGGGAAATTCTGGAGGAGGTGAACTCTAGCAACAGGTAAGATGAGCAGGCTGTTACCTGCAGTACAAGCTGCTGCCAGGCGGTTGCCAGTGGCTGACCATTGCCAATGTTGCAAATGCTCATTCGGTCTGCCGGCTGATTGGCACGCTCAAGTTGCAAGAGTGCACGGGTAAGCCGCTCGAAACGAGCCTCTTGCTCCTTAACAGAGGCTAAAATGCTGGCAGCAGACCTGATATCATAGTCATCCATGATTGCTTTGAAATGCTCCTGCCTGTTAACTGACCAGGGCAAATGGAAAGGGTTAGGTAAAGGGGTGGAGAGGGCACAGGTCAGAGGTTAAGAACAGAAATGCACATTGTTAGTCACCCTACTAAAACAGTGTTCACTCTAGAAAGCAAACTATACCGCTCTTTGAAAAGACTTCATTTCCATCCACTGATTTGATTTGAAATTAAAAGTAATTAAGCCAAGGCTTTGCTGTTCAAAAAAAGAACACACGCTCACCTTGGACAGAATTCCTTTGATGTGTTTTCTGAAATTGCTCTGTCTGACAAGGGGTTTTCATCTCTCTTGCAAAGCTAATTTCACTGTGCAAACAATAATGTGGTTAAAAGAACTATACGAAAAAAGATATGAGGAACACAACCTTTCTCACTACAGACACCTGGAATTTTTGCCTTTTACAGGGTAAATGAGAAGTATAACATTTTTAAAGAAAGAAATTTCATGGTACAAGAAAAAACAGTTGTGTCCATTTTATCCAAGTGAATTGAAACCCCTAAATTTAGCAAGCAGTGGCTGAATATAGTTTTCATTTTTAAATTATAGGAGTACACTGCAACATGGAAAACATTTTTGAATGCAGACAGTGCAATTGCAGTTGCAATGTGTTTGATGATTTCAGCATGGCAGCCAATGAAACAGTCCTTCATGCAGCTGTTTGCTAATAATGTAAATGAAGAAAACAAAAACCAAAGCCAAACATCCTCCATGGAAAACACACAGGACTGCTTGTGTCTCAAATTTAGGAAAAAAAAAAGAACTCAAAACCCAGCTACGTGGGGTATATCTTCTGCCTCATGTCTTCTCTAGTAGGATTATGAAGTATTCCATTTAAAACCCTATCACCATCTGTATGGCCTGTGCAGCAAAATTCGCCACCAATTCCACAGATATAACATATGAACATCAGTTAAAAAGTTTTCCTTAAAAATGCAAAATCAGCAACATAATACAGGCTTGAATAGTGGTTTCCATAGAATCCTTTCACTAAAGCTGAACTGGTAACTAGTTTACTACTATTTACTAGTAAACTACTTATTGCAGCTCTAAGCTGAGCTCACAGAAGGCAGTATTCTGAATTCAAGAAAAGTTCATATTCTATGCTAAGAGTAACAGTAGTTAGAAATTGTCCCTTCATGTACAAGTCAAGAGGGATACTCCCTGCTACGAGAGATTATTTGTTTTCCATCTATCAATAAGAATTTCTGTGAGTGCTGGTATCAAAGTCTGGTTTCCTGCTGCTTTGCATCTCATGGTTCATTGACTTTAGGCGATGCATGCTCTGGACTCATAGTTTTTTCCATGATTGATACATTTATACAGTTTCTCTCCTGTGTTGATTCTTTGCTGGAAAATGGTAATGTCACATGTTTTGGTGCTTCCATAAGAGGGATACTATTAGTTGTTAAGCTGCATGCTTTTGCAGTTTGTAGGAACTTGTAAGTAACCCTGTAGTCTCTTATCTTCTGTCAAAATTGGTTGAAATCAGCCAACAGACCCAAAAGACACTAGAGGCAGAGGAAACAGACTCCAAAGCAATGACATATACCTTTATTTCATAGGAAATTACCTGACAAGTACTTCTGTTGCTCCACAGGTCATTGTTAACTGCAAGGGAGTTGCTTTTGAGAGGAATGGGGGTAATATGAAATCACATTGTCCTGGACAAGGACTACTATGTATTTTTCTCATAATGTTTATATATAACAATGATTTGAGCCTTTCATGTCTACAGACTAGTAAGCATAAGTTATTATACAATATAAAGGCTTTTCTTCTGCATGCACTGATTCCATTTCTATTAATATTCTGGAAGAAAACTGAAAACCATCAAAGGGTTTTCTAGATGTTACACTCTAGTTAGAATATAGACCAAGCTGTCTGCTTCAGAAATCTTCTGCTCTGAACCTTGTTTTGCAGTGCTAGATCATTAATAGCATACAAAACCTTCAAACAGTATTTTAATTTCTGCCAAGAAGAATCACAACTATGTAGCAGGATAGGTTGACTTTCAGGAAGTCCATATAACATGGGACAGTACTGTGCAACTCACCTGCCACACCACAGCATGACTTAGCCCTGGCACAGTTACTTCCTGGATGCAGTCTGGCTCACGTGCAGCCAACTTGCATGTGCCTGCTTCTGTGCTCCCCTGCTTTGCACAGGTGGAGACAGCTTGGTTTGCTGTCTTTCCTCTCAATAGTGCAGACATGCTCACAGACTGCTTAGAAAGAGTCTGAAAGAAGTGGGACTTCACAGACCCAGGCATTAGTCACATTCCGGGAAAAGCACACGTGGGGGATGGAGGGTTGTGTTTCTGAATATATGTTTTTATTTAAGACAGCTACCTGGTCACTGATTTTCACTGCTGTTATCCTAGAGCAGACTGAACAGCCTGACCTCAACACAGATGCACATATGCCTCAGATGAGGGGAAGCTCCAGGCTGTAGAAGAAAGAGTCAGAACGGAGCAGGGATTAACGAACAGAGAGAGAGGCTCCGTAGAAGTGCTGCAGAGCAGGCACTTTCCTGAGTCACTCCCTGCAGGGACCCATCTTTATCTGTGGGGCCACGGCAGGCCCAGCTAACCTAGCTAGGTCAGTCAGGTGACTGAATTAGTGAGAGTAAGAACTTAAGTGGGCAAAGGCACAGGTCACTGGACCACTCTAACACAGCCATAACTACTTCTCTTTATAAAAAGTGAACAACTTACAGGTGGAATCATTCTCAGTGTCACACAAAAAGGAGAGGATTTTAGCTATCACTACAAAGAAATCTGATGTCTCTACTAAAGCTTGTGTTTGTTTCTTCTTTTCCAGCAGTTTAAAAATACTGAATAATGTTTTTAGAGCTTCAAGTGGATTGTGCTTTCAAGGCACAACTCTGAGGCAGACAACGGTGGTGGGTCCCTTCTCAACCCGACATTGGGAAAAGCTTTGGCTTTCTCAGTTCCACCAAACTAGGAGAATATATCTGCATGTTCTCCCCAGCTTCCTCAAGAGGCCACGGCAGTACATGGAACTGGCCGGACTCCACAGCCATCCCCTAGCTGGTACTGTGGTGGAGCACAAGGGGAAGGGATATCTAGTGTTCCTTTTGCCCAGCTCCTTGTGTATCCACTCAGGACCAAGGGTCTTAATGCAGACAAACAACCTGCATTAAATGGAAAACATTAGACTGAAGAGGACTGCAATCCTACATGCAAAAAAAGAAAAAAAATTCCTTTCTTCTAGTTCTCTTAAATGCTAATGGTGCAGTGCACAACAGCAGTCAGTCCCACGTGCAGTGCTCAGGGTGCACAGATGATAAGGGTTCTGTAATGCTGTTCAGTAGCAGGGCCATTTCCTCTTGCTGACTGTAGGTAGTTCATCTGATAAGAAAGAACCTCCTTTGTTTCTCCAGCCCTTACTATGCTAATCTCTCATTATAAACATTGCAGCTTAGTTATCCTTTAGTTAGTGCTCCTCCAACTTAAATGTAGGCTATGAATTTGATCTTGGATCTATTCATACCAGATGAACTTTTGGCAAACATCCAACCCAAGATGAAATGCTTCTTTTGCAAGTTAACTGATCAGTAGACCCCTCTGGAAATCCAAATAAGTAGTGGATTTCATTAAAGGAATTTCCCTCCAAAAAAAAAAACAAAACACCATAGTTTGAAAACTGACTTAGACATCACAGAGGTAAGCAAGTATATACACAGCAGAAGGAAACACAGGCACAGCGCTGAAATCCTCAGCAGAGGGTCAGAGCTGAGCTCTGATGGGAGGTTAGCACTGCAGAGCTCATCATGCGTGCTCTAATAATTTATTGTTTCCTCATGGGGACCAGAGTTTCATCTAAAACCAAATCCTACAAATTAAGCTGTCTCAGATTAAACTTAAGGATTTAGAAAAAATCTCCTATTTACAGAAAACAGAAATGAACCTCACATGAGAATACGTAACTGCACACCTCATTTGTTTGACCTGTGGATTATTCAGGATTCCTTGTCTGCACCAAATCAGCTCTTTCCAACATGGAACTGTGATAGGACATATCCAGTCTTCATTACCTTTTGGGGGACAAAGTGGCTGGATGCTTCTATGGGCTATCTTCAAAAAGTGAATCAATTAAGAATAGGGGAAGACGATGACAGGATGTAAACTACAATAACTAAATTCAAAGCAATGCATTCCCTTTAGAATAGATAATGAAAGTTTTCATTCTAAGGAAAATCATTACCAACAGCAGCCTGAAAAACTGAAAGCACCTCCTGTAATACTTGATTCTGAAGCAGTAACAGCTTTAATAATAAAAGCCACAGTTGATGATTGAGCTGATGTACAACTTTCAAGTCACATTCTGAGAATGTGACAAAGATCTCATTCAGAAAATTCTTAATGAGGTATAAGCACTTGATGCCACACATGAGAGAATCTAGAAAAATTAAGTACTATAAATGGTACAAGTCTCTAGAGAACTACAGAGATCTCCGTGCAGGAAAAAAAGTGTAAACCTCCTTACAGCCATCAATATTGTGCTTCTTTCCTCTGTGCAAAGAAAAACATAGGCAGAAAATAAACTGTATAAATTTTCAGATGTACAATTAGTGACCATAAAAATCCTGATTGCTATGCAGAAAACAGCAGCAGGACCAATAACTGCCTTTTAAGAACCATTGGCCAAAGACAGACTTATGCATTTCAAATGATTTATTAGCAGATAAATACTTGCATGCTGTTGATTGCACTCCCAATTATTTACTCAGGGTTTCAACAATTTACATGATCAGCAGTCTAGACTAGGGGAGTAAAAATCAACAACAAAAAAAGTAGTACTGACTCATAAGTTAGTTACTCAGGCTGCCACTTGCACTTTGCTACCATTTGCAAATAAATTAAAATACATCGAAAAGCCTATAAAAAAAAGAAAATATTTGACCTATAGCAGCCCGGTAAAGATTATTCCTTAGACTGCACTTCTAAACATAGCAAACACTTGCCTGAAGAATGTCAACGGCTACACCGACAGCAGCAAATCTAGTATTTCCTGCCTATGTCATTTTAAACACATTATTATTGTGTTGCATTAGAGCTGGAGCAAAATAACAGGATCTATTTTTTCTGATTGCTTATATGAAGAACTAATGCATCAAGTGGCCTCCTATAAGTCAATAGCTTAACTGCTCAGTAGGGCTAAAAATCACCTCTGCACAGAGTCAAAAAGGAGCCTATGCCTCATATCCCAGCATGTCTGAGTTTGAAGGGTCTTAAGAGACACTGACATGTCTAGGGTTACCTGGTCCTCTGCAAAATGTGATTTAGCTCTGCACACTAATTTTGCTACTATAGGATGTAGCTGATAGTCAAGAGTTCTCAATGAGCCTCTTGGATAACCAGGGTCAAGTTGTATGAGATTTTGGACTTAGGTGCCCAACAGTCATTGAAAATCTCAAATCCCCTGCAATTCTCAAAGTATTCTGCCGGCCTAAGGCCATCAGGGGTACTTGGGTGAGCAGCGTTTGAAAAGAGTAGTGTCCACGAGTCAGCCGCAGAACATCCCAAAACCTTCTCACAGAAGGGAGGAGAGGCTCTCAGGGCACACAGGAGATTTCTCAGGTCCAATGGTCTGAATACTGAACATGGCTGTCCCGCTATCGCTCTCTCTCTGAACCCAATTCAAGGCCAATAGATCCTGCTAACAAGGAATAGTGCTCTGAGGAACAACAAGAAGCTTGTACATACAGCAAATCAGGAGCTGTACAAGCAAACATGAAAGAAAGCCTGTGAGCATGCATGGCAACAGTAGCTATGTGATTCTACAGGGAGGAAAACCATCAAAATAAAGCAAAAACAGGGGTTAAATAATCAATGGAATTGAAGCATAACACATGCTAATCTTATTTTCACGCTCAAATGCCACAATAGATGAGCAGCATTAAATGACTGTTATCCCCCATGCAGTATCAGAAAGCATGCAGAGAAAACCAAGCAATACACACCTAGTGGATTTTGGGAGCCTGAATGTTAAAGATGTTGTGACATCACCCACTAAGACTAGAAAAGTATAGACAAAGCAGGACAGCAGCCTTGAGCAGAACCAGCTATAAGACAGAGGAAAGAGAAGAAAATTAGTTGATAAGGTATTATGGCCTCTTTTGCACACAGTCATTTCCCAAGTTCTCCTTTCTGTTATATAAATTATTTATTATACTGTTTCCCATCCGATCTGGAAGAAAAAAAATAAACATACAATAATCAGAGAAGCCAATCCTCAAGGAGACTACTAAGGAAAAACCCACTGGTTAATCTGATTTGTTATCAGCAATCAATACTTGCATGTTCCTGGGGGAGAGTTACTGTTAGCATCTTAATTTGGGAAAAACTCTGGACTGCAGCGAGGATTTTGAACATTACAAAACTGGATATTGTGGCCAAACATTATAAAACATGGATGCCTAACGTGAAGTTCTTGGAAATAATAATAATTATATCAACACATAACTTTAGGCCCCATATTTGACATATAAGCCCCTAAATGGCTCAAGATCCTCTCACAGATATCTATTAGAAAGGGTAGATTCATTTCTAAAACAAGCATGCTGTACAATAATTTACAGCCACTTTGTTTTTCTACCTGCCTGTAATTTAATCCTATAGGAAATGTAAGTGAAAGCTCGTTTTTGGGTATTAGGTCTTGCTTGTAGCTTGGTAAATCTCAGATCTGTTTTTTCATAAAATTCAGCCTGTAGAGACATTCAGCACCGAAACTTCTCTGGGTCAGGGGTTGCACATTTAGTACCTGTTTTTGCTGGAGACCGTACAGAAAGGAATCCATTTCACTCAAACCATGGTTCTATGAAACAGTATATCCAGTTTTAAGCCTACCACCACATCAGAAATGCTGCAACCACATGGTATGAAATGCAGAGCCAGGACAAACTTACTTGGCTGGTTCAAATGTGTTAGAACATTTTTAAAGAGTAATTTTGCCCCAGAAGATTTTATGCTTGATCAGGTACTGTCTGCCTTCTTGAAGCCAGCATAAACACAGTTCCTTGCGTTTCAGCCAAATTACCAGAAATACAATCCTTTCTTTGCATGGATCTAATCTCAAAGAGCATGGAACTACTAGGTCAAATATATGGTTTTCCCTAAACTAACAGAAGTAAACCTAGGGCTCAAAACTCGCTAAATATAACAAAACTGTGCAAAGGTATGCCCAAAGATTAAAGTCAGGAGAGAGGGAGAGAGAGCGCGAGCAAGAGAGAAACACTAGATTTGGAGTAAATGACCGGAGGGAATAAATTAAGCATAATTCAGTTTCTACAGACAACAAGAGCAACGTTTTGCAAAACCAAATATACACTGCATGTAACAAATTCTGAATAAGTGCTTCACAGACCTTATAGTGGAATCTATCCTAAGTCCAGCTCCCCTTGGTGTTGCTGCTCTGGTTGACTGAGTTTTAATTTGACCCTTACGTGGCAATCGCCACCAATGAATAGCAATGAGGAATTCACAAAGAAAGCTATTTCAATATAGTTCTCTCATAGGCACAGACAGACATACTGTGTTGGTGTCAAAAGAAACAAAAAAAGCTGGTTAGGTTTTTTTTGTTCCTTTGGACAGGAGCAGTCTGTGAAACAAGGCTTCAACTACCAAAGGAACAAGGGCAGAGGAAATGCTAACAGGAAAACTCCTTGAGAAGGAACTTTGGATCTTAAAAGTTACGTCAGTGAACCCTGCAGCTCACCAGTTCTATTACTGCAGAAAAAAGTGAATGTAAAATATTTGAGAATTTACATCAGGAGGAAATTTCATCCAATCAGTAGCAGGAATAATACCGTACCAGAACAATATACTGCAATCTGGTTTTGGCAACACCAACACAAAGAAGCCGGACACACATACATGGTGGCACAACAGTAGGCGCAATACAGTTCCAGCATTTTACTCACTACAGAATTGGCTCTGATCAGGAGCAACTTAGTATCTCAGATCTAAGTATAACGATTCCCAGCCTGTATAAAGGAATTAGTACTCTAATTAGCTTCTTAATTAAAAGCATTGAAATTATATTGTATTAACTTATAAAAGACATAATTCCCAGCAAAACAGATAAAACATGATTATCTGAGTCATGCCCTAAAACATGTTCTTACATGTATCTGTCTAGTAATGAGAGCAAGGGATAGGGAAATGGGATTCTTAGGTTTTGCTTTTTGGGAGGAATTTTGTTTTACACAAAGCTCTACTATAAATATATATGTTGGAAAGCCTTGGGCAGGTCACCTAAGCTCCTTCTTGTTTTGCCCAAGTACAGTAGTTCACATGGTAGGTTTTCATATTTGTAAAGACACTCGACATCCTTGATCGAGGGAGAGTCTAAGTAATCTTTCTTCTCATTATACTAATTAAGAACTTGTTTGCTTCATGTCTATACTCAGAATCTCATGTATGAAATATACTTGACCAACAAAGTACTCCTAGTATAGATACAACTTCACTGGCAAAGCTGCATTTTGTATCACTGTGATGAAGCTAGCTTTAATACGCCTGAACAAAGCAAATTTTACAGCAATAGTTGTACTAACATCCTTGAGTCCCATTTTCAGCAGAAATCTGTAGTGCAGATATCACTGTATTCCATCCTTTTAAATACAGAATTTTCTTACGTCTAATATAGTCTCTCATGGATTCACCAGTGGGTGTTTAAACGACACCAATCACGATCTTCCTACGGCTTCTCTTAGGAACTGATTCTCCACTTTAGCAGAGCTCACTTCCAGGATTTTTTCTGGTTTTCCACCTAAACTTTTGTGCAGTGTTTTCAGGGCTTGGTGATAGTGGGCTTACATAGCTTTAATTATACTGTAGCTCAATTTCCCTAATAAGATACATTTCTATTGCTATGGCTTACTCCCAAATGAAAAGGAAAATTAATTATAGCAATACAGAACACCTTTATAACAACTGCATACATATAATAGCACAACTAATTCAGTACAGCATTAAACCTCAAGTTGAACTATTTTTACAGGAGCAATTTTTAAGTATATGTTTTAGCCTAAGTTTAGTTGGGTAACAATTGGTAACAATTTCCATTTCTTCTCAAAATTTATCATTTATAGACCAGAACAGCATAACAGTACATCTATGAAGCAGAGGTCTTGTTCTTCAGGACCTAAGAATTTGTCTACACTGAGAAAACTGAAGTCTTAAATCACAGAGCACTTGTTATGCCATACTTCCTGCAAAGATCAGTGTTTGCGTTAATTAAGCATAAAATAGCGTAGCGAAGTGGCATCATGTTACCTCACACTTACTAAGTGTCCACACTAAGGTTTAATGAGGTATGTGAGGGACTATAAATTCACACTGTGTGCTGTAAATCCTGTGGGTAAACAAACCCCCATTTATATTTTCAAATGAGTATCTAGGTGGAATACTTTTAAGAAAAATCTCGCACACATGAAAAGTCTACCGAGATGGCTAAATTCTGATTTTAGTACAAGCCTGTAGAACTTGGAACAATAACAAGAGATTTTTCAACTGTCACATTCATGTCAGTATGTCAGTGAGTGTTAATTCTGTTAACTCAGCCATGACAATTGAAATATTAACATCATTAATTATTTCACTCCCAACCTAGAGAATCAATAATTTGCACAACTTAATTTCTATTTATCTACTTCAGTGCTGCTAGTGGGCAGCATTTGGGAGCATTTCTTTTTCCCCTCAAATCAAGAAGGCAAGTCTGAAGTGTCCAGCTGAGCAGAATGGCATGCACAAATCGCACAGAGGGAAAGCCAGAAAAAAAAATCAGAACATTGTGATACGCTCAGCAGCAGATTTCAAAGTAAAATGAAAAGTAAAGTAAATTCCTTTTCCGTAATACTGTGCATTCATGCACATGCCAATATTTACATATCCCTAGATTCTTTGATATTTTTCTATAGATTTTTTGTTTTGTTATAGAATTAAAATGCAATCTCTATTGGGACAACATTCATATTTGCTATCATTTTTACTTGGAAGTTAAAGCTTGAATGAATGAGATAATATTTTGCCATCTCTTTTGGAATATGAATAGCACGTTTGCTGCTTCTCAAACCTCTGACACCTTTCCTTTGTGCCTTGGATCTTTCCAAATGTGATTGCTACTGACTTGATTAGTTCATAGGCCAATCCCTTTAATGCCCTAGAACACATGCCATTGCATCCTAAAGCTGCTGCATGCCATTGATTTTTGAAAAGTCTTCCCCACTGAAATCAATAAGGAGCTCTACTTAAAAATGGATTGTACTTTACAGTCCCTTGCTGATTCATGTATATTCAAGTTTCCAAGTATTCTCATAGCTGCTTTTAGCAGCAGCTATACGTACCGAGTCTTCTTCACTTCCTCTGACCCCAATTTGATTCTCACTGACATCAATAGAAGGTTTAGCCAGCTGTGCTTCCACCGTGAGCAGAAACAGACAATCTGTACCTATCCAGGCAAACTTGTAAATACTATAAAATGGTTACGGTGGAATTTTCTTAGAATACTGTCTTCCAAATAACTGGAAGAAAACCTCAAATAGTGGAGGTTATATGAACGCTAGATAATATCAGGCATTAAATTAAGTATGCATGCACTACATACAGGATATCTACATAGCACTGCATTGATGGACTGGGTCTGATCCCACTGTCAACAAAATTCTTTATTATAGAGGCTACCCTTGCAAACAGTGCCACCAAAAATCAGTAAGTCTATTCTTAGAACAAGGCTGTTTCAATGAGAAAAAGAGACATGAACATCAAAAGCAGCATAGTTTGTAAATTCACTCTGCAGTCCTTTCTAGTATTTTAGAGCTTGGCTTCATTAAATAAAATCCAGTTTGGCTGTAAATAAACCAATCACCTGACTAAACTGTGATAATACTAAAGAATTACTTCCAGAGAATAATTAAGGATTTCTCTGAACAATATATTAGTATCCTCGTTTTTCTTGGCCTCTAGATGCTTTGAGTTTTAGTAAAAGGGTTTCCATTGTAAGAGAAAGGCTATTGACAGCCTTGCAGTCTGAAGCTGTCTACATGCAGTGAATACAGCTGAG